GCACAGAGAGAAGTCTCAATCAAACTCATTTTGGTGGAGCAGCTGTAGGGAGGGGCCGGGGGAGGACGAGGGGGGGTGGGGGGTGGGGGGTGGGGGGTGGGGATGAGAATTTCCAGTCCGATATTCCCAAACCAGGGGTCTTTTACTCTGAGTCACCACTAGGGGGCAGAAGCATTCCAAAAGCTTGGCTATTGATTGGAGTGGGGGTGGGGTCACCCGTCTTTCTCCCTATCATCTAGCTCAATTCCACCTTCCCACTCCATCAGAACAGTCAGACTACACGGAGGTAAAAGCTTTGTTTTATTGATGAGGCCAGACAGGCGTTGTCTCTTACTTGGGCAGCCTCACCTGTTTGTGCTGCAGATAATACAAAAGCCAGGGTGGTGGCCTTGCTGTCCCAGGGCCTCTTATTACAGCTGCTCCACCAAAATGAGTTTGATTGAGACTTCTCTCTGTGCTCTCTTTTTTTTCCTACTAGGGTTGGCCAGGATGACCTAGCCTGGCCTTGGATCACTGCTCTTCCCAGGTGACTCCCCCCACTTTCCCAAGTCACCTGCCAACTCAGGTGGCCACCACACCTTTAGGGCCTACATCAGATGTACTTTATTGGTGGCATCTGGACAAATACAGTTGGAGCCAACTTCAAGAACAGGATAGCTGTAAGTCCAAGCTTCTCTCTGGGGAGAAACAGGGGGATCTGCCCAGGAGGAAAGGCTTAAGAAGTCCATAGAGGTGGCGCTGCTCAGAGCTTCTTCCCATTTCTGTCACTGTGGACGTCCTCGCTGTTCCCACTGCTGCTGTGGAAGGCTAGTTGAACGAGTATAGTGTTTGGCCCTTGTCCTACTCCTCAGGCTCCGTAGTGCAGAGGCAGAAGGGATGGTGGATTCCAGTCTCCTTCCTCCTTACAGGCAATGGCCCTTATCTCTTTACTCTATAAAACCAGGTGGCTGTTCCTCAGTGAGTCATATGATGATAACGTTCAAATACCTAGCAACATCCATATTTGGAATAGTGTGTAGCCAGAGTAAGGTTCAAGCAGTTTTCTTTTTGCCTCAGGTAACTTCGCAGTAGTCCTCTCCTCAGTTTAAGGAGTGCCTAAGGCTGCCTGCCTCCCTCGGTTCTGGGGGTCTGAGCACGCTGCATTCATCTAGTGTATAGGGGGCATTTGTACTAGGGATGTCTTCAGGTGCCCATTTAGCATCTTTTCTGGATCTCTTTTTCTGTCTACCACCCAACGTATCAAAGCCAGGTTCCTGCACCACCCACTCCAGACAATCTCCGGTGTCTGCTCCCTTTCCAGGCCCCAGACCATATCCTTCTCTCCACCCAGCACTGGGTGCTACTGGAAACAGATCCTGTCCTTTACCTGCTTTCAGATCCCAGCAGGCTGTTCTCAGCTCCCACCAGGGAGTTGAGTTCAGTGCTCAGGGATGATGGTTCTTTGTTGGGGCTGAGCCCTTAGAGGTCACTGGTGGGGAAATGTTCAAGATACAAAAAGTTAGGTTGGAGAAGGGCCAGCTACTAGGGTGGATACTCTCCAGATGGAAGGAGAAGGCAGCTCAAAACACATTCTTTTCTGCTTGACCCCAACACCACACGCCCCTACTGTGGACATTCCTATCTCATGAACTGTCCCGATTCCTAGTCCTGGAATGGAAGCCTCAAAGTACATGAAGTCGAGCTGGAGGGACCAGTCCTGAGCAGGTTCTAAAGTCTAGGCCCCACCTTACCAAAAGCATGCATGCCACAGCAGAGTGGCTTCTGGAGGGAGCAGGTGACCTGCCTGTCCTCAGACTGGGTGTTGTAGCCTGTAACCTCACTCCATCCCCAACTTCCCAGGCTACAAGGCCCATTCTGAAGACATACCCACTCTGTATGTTCTACAGCCCCAGTCCTAGCAGTGGGAGGTGAATCCCGGTATTTCTGACCCCCTGCCACCAAGGCTCCTTGGGTTGAGCCTCTGTTCTTCATGGTGAAGACAGAGACTCACAAAGTTCTCCCAGAACCCTGAATTCCATACCCTACCAACTGCCACCCTCGATAGAGGCTGAAGGTTGCCTCCTTCAGGGCCTGCCCGTCACATGCCATTGGCAGAACATTGACTGTGGGTTTCACCTAGCCACATAAGCAAGACCCATATGGGACGAGGCAGAGAAACAATGGTGACTTCCCCCCCCCCCCCCCACCGGCTGTGTGTGCATGTGTATGTTTTGTTTCTCTGTGTAGCCCTGGCTTTCCTGGAACTCCCTCTGTAGACCAGGCTGCCCTGGAACTCAGAGATCCACCAGCCGCTGCCTCCTGAGTGCTGGGATTAAGTATGGATGGTAGCCTTTACTAGCAAGAGGATATCAGGTTAGGAAAGTAGCAGTTAGACTTGGGAGGTCACTAGAGGGCAGCCTTAGCAGTGATGGAGTCATGGAGCTTCATTGAAGATTCCAAGGCAAGGCTGGTGAGACCCTGTGACAGGATAGGAAGTAGAAGCCAGAAAGTCTCAGGTGGGTCAGTTGAGGGAGCTGGGATGAGCATTTCAAGGTAGTGTCCAGATACCAGAG